TGACTGAGTTGGGTGTTTTATTTTGAAACTGAGTGTGTATTTGTGTTAACCTGACTGAGTTGGGTGTTTTATTTTGAAACTGAGTGTGTATTTGTATTAACCTGACGGAGTCAGGTGTTTTATTTTGAAACTTAGTGTGTTAGTTGTGTGATCCCGAGCTGAATGTTTGGAGGCAGGCTCCTCCAGACCAGCAGATCTTCGTCAGTTCTTCGGGGTGAACAGATCCTTGTTTGGGGCGGTCCGGTGTCTCGGTGTCTCTGTGTCTCGGTGTCTCAGTGGACATGTGGGGCAACAGTTGTTCTGACTTCATCCTGGTACCAAGCTGATGTTTTTCAACACAAAGTATGAAGAAGCCTAAACTGATCCGAGAAACGGAAGCAAGTTTCATCAGAAGTGAGCGGCTCCCGGATGGCTGGATGTGATCCGGACTTGGGCTGCGGGGTTCTGGCTCTGGCTCTGGCTCTGGTTCTGGTTCTGGCTCTGGCTCTGGTTCTGGCTCTGGCTCTGGTTCTGGCTCTGGTTCTGGATCTGGAGGGAGACTCCTCTGGTTTGCTGCAGTCAGAGGAGGTCGGTTGTGTCAGTGAAATGAGTTGATCAGTGCGCTGAACGCTGCAGCCCGATTAGACTGACGCTCCAACCACAGATAGCCCGGCTCGGCACGGCTCGGCACGGCTCGGCACGGCAGTCCACGGCGGTCCATTGTTTAAGGTAAAGATTAAACGTCCTTCTCTTATCGGTCCAGTTTGGTTTCACGCGATGATCTGAATGAATGTTTGGTTTTTAGGAGCTCGTTGATTGAGCATCACTGACAATGAAACATGATTTTATCTCATTTTGTAGACGCATTCCACACCCAAGGTCATCTCATTTTAATTTATTTTTTTATCTGTGTCATGTGACACAACTTGTGGCTCCCCAGGAGTGAATTAGCTCTGGTCAGGATCAGGTCCTGGCTCCTGCAGGCAGACGGATCGGACACACCGTGCATTTCAATGCTTGGAGAAGTATTGGCAGTGGCTGCAGTCTGCATATGTTTTCTGCTAAAGTTGTGTCAGAGCCTCTGTGTAACACCTGCCAGCTTTATTTATTCACCTCCAGTGGACATGATTGTTTTACTGCTGTCTGAGTCTTTACAGCTAACAGCCATAACAATGATCCCTGCAGGGTTCACAGTCAATTTTACAGTGTTAATTCAACACTTAAAGAGCTCAATTTAACACTGTGTCCGAGTCTATTTGGTCCTTATCGGAATTCAGTTTAACTCTTTCCATAGCGTTAAATTTTCAGAGTACGATTTAACTCTAAACAGAGTTAAAAATTAACACTGACTAACACTGAACAGTGTTAATAAAACTTAACACTGTACTATGTCAATAAAACTTAACACTGTTCAGTGTTAATAAAACTTAACACTGTACTATGTCAATAAAACTTAACACTGTTCAGTGTTAATAAAACTTA